TTTCAGGATGTCAAGTGAAAGAAATTTCAAAAAGGTGAAGGTACAATATATGAAACCATTGAAAAGGTGCTCACTTCGTGGTACAGCCTAAAATCGGCTCTCTTCTTTACCGATTCTTCAGCTTTTGAGAAATTACAGACCCCGAGGTAGATGCCTCTTCAAATTTACATTAAAATCTAGAAAAATCAAGATGTCTGCTGACTTACGCGGCTACTCCTTCATGAGAGCAATGATTGGCCGTATCTCCTTTTTGTAAATTTCTGTAACAATTCTGATATCACTCAATGATTGGCATGATTTTTATTGAAAATGGTCACTGAAGAGTCTTGGTCCGACCAAATATTTTTGGGCTCTGGGTTTTGATCTGGTCGCGCAATTTCGGGTCAGACAGTGCACAAAAAACTGTTCAGCATCTTGGTAATTTTAAGCGCTGCTTAATACACGAGCATGCCGTTTCGCGCGGATTCCAGTGATTTTTTATCACAAACTCGTAGAAAAGAGACAGCGGCGCAAATTCTATTCCGTATTTGCATCATTAACAGAACTTTTTGGGATCTAGTTGTCAATAGTTCTCAAACTTGGCTTTCTTCCGCGTTTTGCGGCCCTTCTTCGGTTCAAATGCGATGAGAATATTACGGATGGAAATCATAGAAAATTTGCGTAGACGATGGGAGAGACCGCGACCCATACGAGCGACAGGGTGCAGCTAATTCTGGATAATGAAAATGTTGAAATTCTCAAGTATGGTAAGACAGTGTACCACGAATCTGATTGTACTACAACCTTTCACAACGTTTTACTTCTGGGTGAGCTGAGTTCTTCATCCAGGACATGAGTTAACCTACCGTTGCTCTTCTGATCGAAAAAGTTCGAGGTCACGTTCCCGTCCAAACTGTGTGGATAAACCTCTAAAAAAAGCCATTGCATAACTCAACTGCATTTGTTTTTATTCAGCCTAATCAGATTTTTCAAAGTCATTTGAAAACTTGAAACCTTCGTGCGGGTAGAGGACTATACGTCGCCGAGTGGGAGGGTCCTCGGGCGGACAATACAGCAGATATTCAGCCTGTGAATGTATTGGAATGTAATTTGTTACAGATGTCTTCCTCCGGCGACATATAGTCCCCCTACCCCCTTCGTGCTATCGTCGTCTGTGCGTTGCAAACGAGTCATTTTTCAAATTTTTGGTAGCGGGAAATTTGCAGAGAGGAATGCTCAGCGTTTCACCATCATTTCACCACTGTTCTCCTATGTTTCTCCTAGCCTTGTCCGTCAACATACCAAATTTGGTAGTAAATCTTATGTGTGCGTCGTAATCGAATCATTTGTTCACTACTTTGTGCAAAAAAACCTGGTTTTCAAAGAAAACCCGTCTTCAAAACAATTATGGTTGAACACGTCATTTGCCGAAAAATTTGTCTTCAAGGGACTGAACATGTCTAAGGGGTATGTACTGCAAACAAATGTGTAATTATGATAAACCTTTGCTTTTTCCAGAACGATTTCCAGAATGACATTTGCCACCCTCGCACCAGGCCTTGATTGAGGCGGAAATAAAGGGTAATTCGACAGTCCGCGTTTCAAAGCGAAACGCTTTCGGCATATCATTTCTATCCATCCTAACAGTCATCTTAACGGTATTTTTGTCTATAACTGTGGTCATTAAAGACAAATGTAAGCGTCGTAAAAAATGATCATGTTGGATCTCTCTGAGGGCAGCGCCCAAATAGAATCTAGAGTGTGGAAATTCTTTCGCTCTTGTTTATTGACAATGTTTGGGACAAAACCGCGTAAAGCGCTAACATCTCTCCACCCAATGTCACTCCCGAGCATAGGTGCGATAGGGGGAGCCGAGCCCTCTCCAGGTGAA